GCGGCGTGTGGAGCCAACATGATGTTTACATGCTGAGGAAACAAAACGTGCTGCTCTGCAACAGGAAGTGAGCGCAGCATGCAGCAGCGGGGAGCTGTATCAGGTTCCAGCTGCAGGACGGGACGCTCGCCGCATGCACGCCGCAGGCATGCAGCGCTGCGAGGAAGCCGGGGACAAACTTTCATGCAACCCCCCCCCACACCCCACCAACCGAACCACCCCTGACGATGAAGGAAGAGGAGCGCTGACGGGGACGCCATCAGCGCTGGTCTTTCACTCCCGGGACAAAGTTGAGGCAACATGCGGCAGGAAGCCAGGTATGACAGGTCGGTCACATGACACGGACGGAGACATACACAGAGGGAGAGAGAGGGAGACGGTACCTCGATCGCAGCTGTTCCCCATCATCTGAGGAGAGGACACACACACAGTCAGACGGGATTGGCCGGAGCCGCTGCCACCTGTCAGCCAATGAGGTTAAGCTGCAAACATCCGTCTTTGTCCCGTCCTCCACTTTGGCATCCCCCGGCCCTCCCCTCTGCCACCCCTCCCTCCTCAGCACCGCATCCTCCTCCTTCACGCTGCCTCCTTCCCCATCTCCTCCTCTCTCTCCACTCAGCAGTAATTCTAAGTCTCGCTCGTCCGCTCGCTGAGGTTTTACCGCATTTCTTCAATCAATCCCACAAACTGCTCCGTCCTGCTGTCTCTCCTCCTCCTCTTCGTGTCTTCCTTCCTCTCTGCAGACCCTCCTCTCCCTCCCTCTCTCTCTGCAGCACCTCCCTCTCCCTGCTCTTCCTCTCTCGCTGCGTTTATCGCTGCCCTCGGAGGATAATTACCAAATAAGTTTCCCCTCAGCCGGCTGATGTGGGACACAACTCTGGGGGCCGAATCACATCAGGCCTGCAAATTAACTCTATTTTCAGAGTCTGTTCATTGATCGTATCACTCGCTAATCACCATTAATCACTTTCAAAAGCATAATTTATGTCATCGGTGACCCGGCGCTGAAGAGTCAACGCTTTTTAATAACACAAAATGTTCGTACTCTGGCTTTTTAACCACTCAGCACAGGATCCGACGCCTGCCTTTGAGTCTGAAGACTTTCAGAGTTTCTTACTGATCTGCTCTAAGAGGAAAATTATTGAAATTTTGCCTCATAGTCGAACTTTTAGCAACTGTAACTGCAGCTCCGTGCAGACTATCAATCAGACGCTCTGCCTGCTGTTCAGCTCAAATATTATTTCTTGTTTTTGACCACATCAGCATCAGTCTGCTGTTCTTGGCACACAGGTAGACTCAGTGCAGCAAAATTAAAACCCACTCATGACCAAGTGTCCTCTGTCACACTCAGTGGATCCTCTGATCATCTATAAATATCTATTGATCAGCTGCGTCTCAAATATCTGTACTCTGAGACAAGTCATCAGCTGATGAGCCACACCAGGAATCAAACCAGCAAAC